AGTTCCCCTCTTTCTCTTTTAGTTCTTTTGTGTATTGTTTTACTGTTGTTATGTATGCTATTGTCGAATAAAAATGCTACTGCAGTTATGTATGCGTTAGGAAAAGAAAAATGTCTTGCTAATAAAATTATGCGGCCAGGATGCTAGTGATCTGTGACAGTTTGTTGTAACCTTCCACAAAAAAAAGTGAAGTTTTGGACTGTCTATCCAGTTTTATTGAATAAAGATGAGTTTTTAAGTGGTTCATGTGGTTTTATTGAGCATGGGATCTAGAGGGAAGAGAGCGGTTAGACTCAACTTGGTACAGGATGTGGGAACTTGTTCGATTGAATGTTTTGTACTTCTATTTAAGGAGGATGAAGTTTTTTCCATTCTTTTCCTTATACAACTTATCATTTGTAGTGTTATGGCCTTTGTCTTGTGGTTCATCTGCTAACTGTGATCTATTATTGGTATTGCCTTTCTTCAGGTATGTCCAGTTTGCGGGAAGAGGGTTGGAATGGATCTTGTTGGCCATATTACCATGCAACATGGGAATTTTTTAAAGATATCCTTATTGCAAGCAGGCTTTGTTTAATGTTTTGTTTATGTCATCTTTTCCTTACATAAACCAATCCATGCTTATCATTCGTGCGTTTGTACATTCATATGGATTTGGCAATCTATTTGAGACAAAAATGATTTATTCTGAACAAAGGTTTTATTCTTCTAACGTTATTCGAAAATTTTAAGTAGGTAATTGAAATTGTTGGACAGCAGTGGACTTTAAAAATTGGATGCATGTATAACGGGGAGATGCTATGAATTTTTGTTTGGCGTTGGCTTTTGGATAATGGAGATGTCATTATTTACATTATCTTGCCCTCACTAATAAAGCCCTGAGATATCATTTTATTTTTTTAATTTTATAAGTATTCTAGTAACCATTTACAATTGTTCTGCTGCTTATTTCTGTCATTAATCTAGTTCAATGAATAAATGATAGCCTGTTTATCGTGTCTTCTTATGGCGCGTGCAAACCTGTTATTCTGCTGCACATGTTGAGTCACTAGCACTTGGTTGTGGGCCTGGTAGTGTGTTCTTTCTTTTCATTTCCTTTTGATATTTGTTGTCACTGATCCTAAAATACGTACGGAGAGCGTCTTAGAGCCTCTGGTTAAAAGTTAAAGTTATTTGTCTTTGCTTTGCATCAACGGGTCAGTGCCTTGGTGTACTGCCTTAGTTTTTATGACTGTGTCAGGCTTCACTGTTGTTCCTTAACCAGAAACTACGTGCAGCGCAGGAGGAGGTCTAGGAGGGGAGGCTCTAGTTCAACACTTTCACTATTGAGAAGAGAATTGCGAGAAGGAACCCTGCAATCTCTTTTCGGAGGCTCTTCATATGTAGCTTCCTCCAATTCAGAGCCTGATCCTCTGCTTTCATCATTTATTTATAGCCCCGTTGCAGCTGATGAGTCTGTTAGTTCACAACCTTGTCCATCAGTTGAAACTACCCTAGTGAAGGAAAGCTCAAAAGATGATTTCTTGGAAAGGTGGGGGATTGGTGTTCAATTATGCTTTCGCTTTGTTTGAGAAATGAAAAAAAAAAAAAATTGTACTTTTAGTTGCATACTTGTTTGGCATGTTAAGATGTTGCATGGTTGCATTTGCAGATGCTACAACGTTTAGGGGGTTTTAAGTTTGTTGCAATTCGTGTTGCTAAAGTAAATGATGAAAGCTAGTTATGGATTCTGGGAATGATGCTTTGGTTCTTGTGTAGGAATTTGGCTGTGAAATGATCATCCTCGTTTTTTATTTTATTTTATTTTATTTTTCGCGCGTGAGCGTGAGTGTGTGAGGTTTGAAAACGAAAAGTATGTCATGCTACGATGGTATATCTTTTCTTTTCCCTGTTTTATAACCTGTGATGCGTTGGTTTCACGGGAACTTGGAATGACCATTCTGGCTTGTTGATTATTTTCATGCTGTGGAACTGTTGCTTCTTTTTCTACAACGTTTCCAATACTTACAAGCTATTATAGTCTGACAAAAGTGTATGGTTACAGAAAACCCCAACAGTTGCAGCTGTCAGACAAGGATAAAGAAGAGAAAACTCGGAGGTTTGAGTTTGTGCAAGGGTTGTTGATGTCTACTATTCTGAATGATGACTTGTGATTGGAACTGCAGCTGGTAAAGCCATTATTGGAGTAGGAGCAGGATCTCTATAAACACGAGGAAGGAGTTGATTCAGATTGTTATGGAGTGATGGTAGCTAGCTCCCAGGGAAGTGTATGTATCTACTATCTAGTTTATGCTTGTAAAACAAAGATGGAAGGAACCTATATAATTCCGCTGGTGTTATATGGCTCTGCTAGTTCCTCTTAGCGAATGGGAATAAAATTTATGTGTGACGACCATTGGCGCTTAAATTAGTAGAGCCTTTGTGTAAATATGCTTTCAGCTCTTAGCCTTGATTGGGTCGTCCTTTTTCTGTTGGGAGTTGAACTTTCGGAGTTATCTTTTCAGAATATGGTCAAATGCTACGGTAGATAAATAATAGCAAATCTATCTTGATCAATGGGACGAAATACAGTTTGATATTCTATGGTTTAGTCCGATTCTATTATGGTAACAAGTGGCAGAAAGGTAAGAAAACAACGCTAGAGCTGCTGGCAGCGGCGCCGCTTAATGATTGTTTAAAGTCACAGAATAGGGGGGCTCTTGCTGCTGGGGACAGTAAGAAGGGAAAGTAGGACTTCTTAAAATGTAGATGGTATGCTTTTACTTGAATGCTTGGTTCAAATGCCGATGTTGTTCAAGAATTAGTCAATTAGCTTTTTAAGTAGAACTTTTCCCAGATGTTTAGATTAATTTTTGAAAATTCTTTTTATAACTAAATTCCTTTAGCTTGAAACAAGGGATATTACGGCCTTAATGTTAAAAATTGATATTTTAAACATGAAATTTAATTTTTTGGGGTGGAATATCATGAAGATGTGATATGCATAAACCTTTTCTTTTCTTTTTTTTCTTGGGCCAAAAAATATGGGCAAACCTTTTCGGAAAATTAATTTTTTGGAAAAGACTTTCTGGGAAGTAACTTGTCAAAAAGCAAACCGAGCTACCCCTATCTTCTGTTTGGGAATAGCTCCAGGGGGACGGAGTTTCTTTGTTGCGATTTTTGAGATGAAAACGGTGACGTTCTCTGGTTGTGCATGGGTTTTCGCACTGTTCATTCCATATAACGCAAGTCATGATGGTGTTCAATTTAAAAATAAAGCGCGCTCACCGGGAAAAAAAAGGGGGAGTTATTCCCATAAAACGTTAACCTTTGTTTGCCTGCTTTTGTTTCTGTTCTGTTTTCGCTGTGAAAAGTTTAGCTTTGATTCCATAACAAGCTAAAGCGACCCAATTTATAATCTTGCCAAGGATACCTTATACGAACATCAATTATATATTATATATTTTTAAAAATTATATTCAATTTCTAGAAGGGCGTCTAGATTCCTCCCTGATTTTTCGGTTTCTTCAATAATTTATCTTCGAGCTGTTATGATGCATGCCCTTTTCTCCGCGGTATCATTACACATACATATGGGGAGAACCTGCATTTGTGATCCTAATTAATTCTACCTCCCTAGTTATTCAACTAATTTGAGTAGATTAAAAAAAATTAGTTAAATTAATTATTTATACTAAATAAGTATTGTCTTTTCTAAAATATCCTTATTAATTATGTATATTAACTAAAACTACTATTTGATTAAACTTTTTAATATGTGCAACCACTACAAGGATCGTCTGAAAAAAAAATAGATAAATAGTGTAGATAAATTATATTGGGATTTTATATTTAAGAACAAATTGAATATTAAACTAGTTTTTATATTATATATTAAAAACTCGAGTATAATAATATATTGAGCATAAAATTTATTAAAAGTCATACTCCTCCGGTCTTTAATATAGGACCCAATTCTTGAGTTGGTTTTGATCCTAAATATAAGATCCATTTCTCATATTTATCAATTTCTCTAAATTACCCTATAGATACTCCCTCAACCATAATCAAGTAGAAGAGGGAGAGAAGGTATTAAGAAAGATGATTATGGTATTTTAGGAAAAATGTCACTTTTTTATAATTAACTAACTTACCTAATTTTTTAATCTAATCAAATTAGTTAAATGGGTTTTATATTAAAGGACGGGAGAGTATTATTTATAAGACATTAACAATACATTATGACATTATGACTTCAAACTTTATGCAAGGCATGGGCCCACCTTTTAGTTTATTTAAATTTCGTAGCAACTTGATATGACTCTGACTCTGAAATTTGAGTGCCTCTATTCAATTGATGCGTACGTATGGGGTGGGCGACAAAATATTGCGCCTGACCTGTCAACAATGTTAGTGGCCATTAGTATATCGCCCATATGTGACTCATCCAACGATCATTTTGGGGTACTTATTCTTAAATCTTGTTTCTTATTTTGTATCACGGTGAAACTATGGAGTATAATTGTATTAAAAAAATATTTACCCAAAAGAAAAGGCTTGACGCTGACATCTTTTTGTCACTATGAAATTTAACCATTTTCTCGTCTCTATTTTTTCCCCAGTCGTATAAACAAGCATTGGAGTTTTATTTTTGTGGGTAAAGAAAAAAGCAAGGCGAAACTTCACGGTCCTTCCCGAAGGAATCTTACAGCAAATATCTAGTTCATTATTATGTTTTTGTCTCATTTCTGCGTTTTGTATTTATTTATTCCTGCTTGACAATATTCTGAAGCAGAAAACACCATTTTTTTAAAAGAGGGTTGCTTCGTTTGAACGTTTCCAAATCGCCTTATTTGACTGATCGAGATGCCGGAAACAAAATTAAATACAATAATCAAATATAAAACGAAAGATTTCAAAACTATAGACTCAATATGAGTGGTGGCTTCACATAATCAATTACGCACTCACACTGATCCATCATCGCCTATAAATACAAGCATACTTTAGCCTCTCAAACCACACAAATAACCTTAATCGTCTCGAGGTACCCTCCCTCGTACGTATATCAGTTTTGTTCTTAATTATCTGTCATCAATCATCATGGGAGTTTTCACTTACCAGAACGACAACGCCTCAAGCGTGTCTCGTCCCAGACTTTACAAAGCCTTGGTCGTAGATTTCGACAACCTCATCCCAAAGATTGTGGAAGCCGCTCAGACCATTGAAATCCTCGAAGGCAATGGCGGACCTGGCACTCTCAAGAAGCTCACTTACGTCGAAGGTCACTTTTATATATATATATATATATATATATATATGTATATGTATATGTATATCAACGTTCTTATCATTTCAACGAAAATAATTGCATTATAATCTCTACGTTCCCTACTCTTTGTCTGTGATTAAAGAGTCTGTGTTATATATGTGTGAGCAGATGGAGCAACAAAGTATGTGATTCAGAAGGTGGTAGCATTGGACGGAGCAAACTATGTATATAACTACAGTGCAATAGAAGGCACTGGAATGCCAGAGGGAGTGGAGAAGATGACTTTTGACATGAAATTAGAGGAAGGACCCAATGGAGGATCTGTAGGGAAAGTCAGTGTCACTTACTTCACCAAAACTGATGCCCCTCCAAGTGAAGAGGAGCTCGCTGCTGGAAAAGCTAAGGGGGAAGGCCTCTTCAAGGCCGTTGAGGCTTACCTTTTGGCTCATCCTGAGTACAACTAAGCTCTTTCATAAACCTTTTATATATATATATATATATACACTGTCATTATATTGTTGTTGTGGTTTGCTGTGTTTGTAATCAAGAGGATGATCTCTGGAGTGCTTCATGGTCAAGTTATATGGATCGGAGAGATAGGAAAATACATGGATGAATGTGAGGCCAGTCAAGTGGGATTCACATAAACTGATATGGAACCTATCACTTTGTTCCTACTATTATTTCACTCTGAAGTATTTTAGAGAGGGTCTATCCAGATTTGTGTTTGTCATCAGAATGAGAGGTGTTTCCTTCACTGTGGGAAATAAAATAATATGAGAAAGTGTTTGGTTTTCTTTTCTGCTGTCCCATTTTTTCTTGGCTTTGGATTTCTCAAATTTGACTTCAAGCTGGAGTGTTGAGAGAGTAGATTGGAGGATGTAATTTGATTTGAGTATGAATATATATTTGTCAATACTCTGTATATTGCGTTATCTGTCATTGACTCCGTATGTTTGAATGAAAATGAAGTATATATATTAATAATAGCGTGTTCAAGGGAGAGAGAGACAGACTTAGTCAAAATTTCTAGATGTCAAGAACTAAAGACACACACACACACACACACACATGGTCAGAGATAGTGAAGTATTCGAACCTGAAAGCTAGTTGGATGATGAGCTCATATATATTCTACTGACTATTGAGAGTTATGGCGGTCACAGCAGAAAAATGAGAAGTGCATTTATAATTTCCATCACTCCTCCGGTCCTTATTATAAGACCCAATTTGACTTTTTATTTGGTCCTAATATAAGACCCAATCCATTTTCTCTCTTATTATGCATTTTTTCCAAGATAATCCTTCTAATAATGATAGTTTTAGCCAATATACTTAATTAGCAGAATATTTTAGAATAACACTTATTTATTATAAATAACCAACTTAACTTACTTCCTTAATCTCCTCAAATAAGTCAATTGGGTCTTATAATTAGGACCGGAGGAGTAGTTAAATTAAGTAAGAGTTTGTTTAACATCAAAAGAGAATGTGGCCAAAAATAAAACATCAAAAGAGAATAAAATTTACATGAATTGGGTTTTGGACACTCCTAAAAATTAGAGTCAGGGCAGGTTTCAAGACTTCAGAAAAACACTTACAGAAGATTACACATCAACGAGCTTATCCAATATTAATTTAGATATAATATTTTCAATTTATAATATAAGAATGATTTTTTTTTACCTTGCTTCTTACATAAGATAAGTACTAGATAACTTAATTAATTTACAGCTAATTCAAATTGACCATAATGAAATTTATTCTAATTCTATTCCCCAGGTCTTGACTTCATTATAAAATATACACACAAATTATGACCGATTTGTAAGTGTGATGATGACCGATTTCAACAAGTTCTGTTAATTGTCAGAATTTGCATTTGGTTTCTCTTCACTCTCTAACTCTTCTCTTACTCTTCACTTCTTATATGGATTGTTCAATTAGCTTTGGATGACTTACATAAACAGAATAGATTTTTCACACTTCATTGTTCCAGCTAAAGTTTTAATCCATTTAGATCAGGTTTTAAGAATTCGGCTTTGTTATTCATTTTTCTATAATCAAATAATTAGAGCAAGAAATAGAAGGGAAGTAGCTAGCGAAGAGTAGAAGGAGAAGAGATTAAATCCCAAAAAAAAAAAAAACCTAAATGTTTTGGAGATATTGGGGCGGATTACACTAAAAGGAGGGAATATACGGACATCATGGGTGGTTAAAATTTAACATGGCTCTCAAATTAAATAGTATAATTATTATGGTTCTTAATTAGATGATCCATTATCCATGCATATGGAGGAGGCATTAAAAGCTTGAATGATAAGGAAGACAAAACTAGACATACTGGATATTATCCATTCAGTGATTGTGAAACCTTCATCGTTGTTCGGAAGAATCATTCCAAGAGATGCTCTTACTAAGGACATGGCATCTTGCGTTTAAAAAGTCAAACGTACTTATCTAAAACGGAACACAATAGTCTGGCCTGCATTAATTAATTTCCTCTTATTTCTGTTTTCTTAATATAATATTTCATTTGATTTTATTTTAGTCTTAAATATAAGACCACAATCTATTTTATCTCTTATATTTATCAATTTTTTTCAAAATAATCCTTCTCAGAAAAACACTTACAGAAGATTACACATCAACGAGCTTATCCAATATTAATTTAGATATAATTTTTCCATTTATAATATAAGAATGATTTTTTTTTCCTTGCTTCTTACATAAGATAAGTACTAGATAACTTAATTATTTACAGCTAATTCAAATTGACCATAATGAAATTTATTCTAATTCTATTCCCCAGGTCTTGACTTCATTATAAAATATACACACAAATTGTGACCGATTTGTAAGTGTGATTATGACCGATTTCAACAATTTCTGTTACTTGTCAGAATTTTGCATTTGGTTTCTCTTCACTCTCTAACTCTTCTCTTACTCTTCACTTCTTATATGGATTGTTCAATTAGCTTTGGATGACTTACATAAACAGAATAGATTTTTCACATTCATTGTTCCAGCTAAAGTTTTAATCCATTTAGATCAGTTTTAAGAATTCGGCTTTGTTATATTCTTTTTCATATATCAAATAATTAGAGCAAGAAATAGAAGGAAAAGTGCTAGCGAAGAGTAGAAGGAGAGAGATATAAATCCAAATAAAAAAAACCTAAATGTTTTGGAGATATTGTGGCGGATTACACTGAAGGCGGGAATATGGGGACATCATGGGTGGTTAAAATTTAACATGGCTCTCAAATTAAATAGTATAATTATTATGTTTGGTTCTTAATTAGATGATCCATTATCCATGCACCTGGAGGAGGCATTAAAGGCTTGAATGATTAAGAAGAGACAAACTAGACATACTGGATATTATCCATTCAGTGATTGTGAAACCTTCATCGTTGTTCAGGAAGAATCATTCCAAGAGATGCTCTTACTAAGACATGGCATCTTGCGTTTAAAAAGTCAAACGTACTTATCTAAAACCGGAACAAATAGTTCTGGCCTGCATTAATAATTTCCTCTTATTCTGTTTTTTTTTTTCCCCATGCTTTGTAATATTCTTAAGAGAACGTACACCATTTCCAATTAACACTATTTAACACATATACTACCTCCGGTCCTTAATATAATATTTCATTTGACTTTTATTTTAGTCTTAAATATAAGACCTCAATCTACTTTGTCTCTTATATTTATCAATTTTTTTTCAAGATAATCCTTCTAATAATGGTAGTCGTGGCCAATAAATTTGATCAACAAGGATATTTTTAGAAAGATAATACTTATTTATTATAATAACTAACTTAACTTATTTTCTTAATCTACTCGAATTAATTAACTGGTTCTTATATTTAGGACTAGAGGTAGTACTATTTTTGCCTCATTTTGAGCGTTTCCCAAATCGCCGCCGTTGACTAAAGCTGGAAAAGAATAATTTTGGGAAGGAATTTAAATAAATAGTGAGCAATACATATCATCAAAATAATGAAACGAATGATTTTAAAGGATAAAGTCAACCTGAGTTAATAAGAGTTAACTTGACCCAATCAAACTACAACCCATTGCCTATCAATAAAAGCACATTCTGGCCCCCTCTCATCAGAAACCACACAGTAACCTTAATCTTTCCTGAAACCCTCCTCGTATACCTAATTCTCTGCCATCGAAACCTCATCATTATCATCATGGGAGTTTTCACTTACCAGAACGACAACACTCAACTGTTGCCCCTTCTAGACTTTACAAAGCTCTGGTCGTAGATTCCGACGATCTCATCCCGAAGGTCGTGGAAGCAATCCAGTCCATTGAAATAGTCGAAGGGAATGGAGGACCAGGCACTGTCAGAAGCTCACTCTCGTTGAAGGTCCCTTTATACACATCATCAATCGTCATTATTTTTTGTTAATCTTACATTAATTGAATTACAATGAAGTAGATGTTATAACTGATGAAGCAGAATGAGAAGTCAATGAAATATGGATATATGCAGGTGGGAAACACAAGTATGTGTTGCAGAAAGTGGAGGCACTGATGAACAAACTATGTGTATAACTACAGCATAGTTGGAGGGAGTGGATTACCAGACAGTGGAGAAGAAAACATTTGAGCAGAAATTAGAGGAAGGAGCTAATGAGGATCCATAGGCAAAGTCACTATCACTTACTTCACCAAAACCGATGCTCCTCCCACTGATGACGAGATCACTGCAGGAAAAGCCAAAGGAGACGGCCTCTTCAGGGCCCTGAAGCTTACATTTTGGCCAATCCTTAATTACTACAACTAAATCTTTATAAGCTTATATATATGTGTGTGTATTATTAGTGAGAGATATTATATTTACTATCATATCTGCTGTACTGTGCTCTGTTGCGTTTGTAACCAGAGGATTCCTTGAAGTCTTTAGAATGAAGTTAGAGAGAAATAGAAAGATAAAATAGCGTCGGGGACCTATTATATATATGCACGGATTGCCATTATTATTTCTGTCTCTCTCTCTGATTATTCCTCTAAAGTACTTCAGAGTATCTATATTTGCCTTTGTAATAATGAGAAGCGTTTGTTTGTTTTTTTCTTCGGTGTCCTATCTTCTTGGCTTGGGATTGTTCCAATTTGATGTCAGTGGAATAGTATGTATATTGTTGAGAGTGTACTCGGAGAATGTAATTTAATTTTGAATTTGATGAATAGTTTGTCGCATTCTGTGTTTTGCTCTTCCCCATAAATCAAAATGTTATTTATGTATGAAGTAATATGGTCTGCCATCTCCATTTTGAATTATGATATGGTAATGAGTGAGTGTGTGTGTGTGTGTGTGATGGTCATAACGATGAAATATTCGAGTCTGAAAGATAGCTGGATAAGTTCAACACACACACATCGAGGGCACTGAGAGTTGCGGAGGTCAGAGCAAAAAACAGAAAACAAAGAAATCACATATAATTTCCATGTATTTTCCAAGTGATTTTAAATAATAATAAGGATTATTTATCAAATAAAGAACTTTTATTATGAGTACCATTATTCTGATTTCTCACTAATTCTCCTTAACTAGATAAATATCTTATTAATGATTAACTATAAGAGTAACTTGACTAATTTGAAGAGATTAAGAAAATTATTTAAGTTAGTTACTTGTATTAAATAGGTATTATTTTTTCCTAAAATATCCTTGTTAATCAAGTGTATTGGCTAGAACTACCATTATTATAAGGACTCCTTAAGAAAAAAATAGATAAATGTAAGAGATAAAATAGATTGAGATATTATATTTAGGATCAAAATAAAAGTCAAATAAGCTTTTTATTAAAAATCAGTATAGTATATATATATATAAGCCATATAAAATGAGAGATAATTGATCGGGTAAGAAAAAAGTCACTTATACATCCAAAATTAATTATCAGGGTTAAT